ATCGAACCTTTATCAATTTTGATGGTACCCACAGTTTATCTTCTCCTGTAGAAACAAAAGCAAAACCTCATCCCCAACGTAACACATACCCTGGTTTCCATTCTGAGGTCAGCACATCCTTAAAGTATATAGGCTGATTTAATTCTGTAGTTTTTTCTATTATCCAATGTCTCTCTGCAGCTGTTGTTCCTTTCTCATTGGCATTAAGAAAATTCAAAGTTAATAGAGCATTATGCAGTCTGTTTCTGGGGGGTTTTGTTACCCCTTTTTGTTTATTTAGCATATCCTTTAGAGTTCTGTTTGATCTTTCTACAATTGCTTGACCTGTAGGATTATGTGGTATGCTTGTAATATGCTTTATATTGTAATAAGCAAAAAACTGTTTCATTTTAACAGAGACATATGATGGAGCATTATCAGTTTTGATTTGTGCAGGTATACCCATGATGGCCATAACTTCGAGCAAATGAGTGATTACAGAATCAGCTTTTTCAGAACTCAAAGCAGTTGCCCACTGAAATCCTGAATAAGTATCGATAGTGTGGTGTACATATTTCAGTTTTCCAAATTCTGCAAAGTGAAACACGTCCATCTGCCAGATTTCATTCCTTTGAGTACCTTTTGGGTTACATCCAGGTGGTAATGGCGTTTGATTGTAGAAGGAACAAGTAGGACATTTCTTTACTATTTCTTTGGCTTGTTGCCAGGTTATGGAAAAATCCTTTTTTAAACCTTTACTATTGACATGATGTTTTTTATGAAATTCTGAGGCCTCCAGCACATTTCCTATCAATAATTTATCAATCTCATCATTGCCTTGTGCTAGAGGGCCTGGCAGACCAGTATGGGATCGAATGTGAGTTATATATAAAGGATGACTCCTTTTCCTGATTGTATCTTGTAATTGAATAAATAGTGAAGTTAATTCTGAAGCATCAGGGATAAATTCTGCAGTTTCAATATGTAATACTACTCTTTCAGCATACTGAGAGTCGGTTACTATGTTGAGAGGTTCTGAAAAATCCATTAATACCAACAGAATAGCATACAATTCTGATTTTTGAACTGAATTATAAGGACTTTGAACCACTTTACTTAAATTTTCTGATTTGTAACCTGACTTTCCTTGTTTGTTGGCATCTGTATAAAATGTACGAACTCCAGATATGGGTTTTTCCCATACAATTCGAGGCAAGATCCAATCAGCTCTCTTTATAAGATCAATTCTATCGCTTTTGGGATATTTGCTGTTAATTTCTCCCAAAAAATTACTGCAAGCTCTTTGCCAAGGTTCACTTTCTGTCCATAATTTTTCAATATCCTCCTTAGTTAAAGGTACGACAATTTCTGCTGGGTCTATTCCTGCTAATTGACGAAGTCTCAATTTTCCTTTCCCAATCAAGTCAGAGATTTTTTCCACATAAGTTTTTAATTTTTTATTTGGTTTATTTGGTAAAAATATCCATTCTAATATAATATCTTCCCTCTGCATTAATATTCCTGTTGGACAATGCCTAGAAGGTAAAATAACCAAAATGCAATCCAGCTTTGGATCAATACGATCCACGTGTCCTTCATGTACTTTCTTTTCTACCAAGGTCAATTCTTTCTCAGCTTCAGGTGATAATTCTCTTGGACTATTTAAGTCCTTGTCACCTTCTAAGGTTTTGAACAAATTATGCAGTTCATCATTTTTTACCCCAACAATAGTTCTTAGATGAGAAATATCTCCAAATAATCTTTGAAAGTCATTAAGAGTCTGTAGTCTATCTCTCCTAATTTGCACCTTTTGGGGTCTAATTTTTTGTAGCTCTATTTTATATCCTAAATAATTAATAGAATCTCCTCTTTGTATCTTTTCAGGAGCAATTTGTAATCCCCAGCAAGGCAAAATTTTCTTTACTTCTTCAAACATTCTTTCTAAAGTATCTGCATTTGAGTCAGCTAGTAAAATATCATCCATATAATGATAAATTATAGATTTAGGAAATTTTTTACGTATCACTTCCAATGGCTGTTGTACAAAATATTGGCACAGAGTTGGGCTATTCAACATTCCCTGTGGGAGGACTCTCCATTGAAATCTTTTAACCGGTTGAGAATTATTGTAAGTAGGCACTGTGAAAGCAAATCTTTCTCTGTCTTTTTCTTGTAAGGGTATTGAAAAGAAACAGTCTTTTAAATCAATAACTATGAGAGGCCATCCTTTTGGTAACAGAGTAGGCAAAGGAATTCCAGATTGTAGAGAGCCCATTGGCTGAATTACTTTGTTAATTGCTCTAAGGTCTGTTACCATTCTCCATTTACCAGATTTCTTCTTAATAACAAATACAGGAGAATTCCAAGGGCTGGTTGATTCTTCAATATGCCGAGCATTTAACTGTTCTTCTACCAGCTCTTCTAAAGCCTGGAGTTTCTCTGTTGTTAAAGGCCATTGCTGGACCCATACAGGCTTGTCTGTTAACCATTTTAAAGGTAGAGCTGTTGATGTCTTTGGAAGATCATCAGTTGTTGTGCCCTGTTCTTGTATAATATGGATGCCTGGTGACCATTCAGAATATTGCCTTCTAATATTTCTCTCAGAAACATGTGCTAGTTTATGATTTGTTTCTGAGATTGGAGGGATGTTAATCTGAGTATTCCATTGCTGTAACAAGTCTCGACCCCACAGGTTCATAGCTATGTTAGCCACATATGGTTTTAATTTTGCTCTCTGTCCTTCTGGACCTATACATTCGAGCCATCTTGCACTCTGTTTCACCTGAGATAATGTCCCAATTCCTAACAGTTGAATGTTTACCTCCTGAAGAGGCCAAGTTGGATGCCAAAATTCTGGTGCAATTATGGTAACGTCCGCACCTGTGTCTACCAGACCAGACAACAAAACACCATTTATTTTTATGGATAATTTTGGTCTTTGTTCATTAATAGAAGTTTGCCAAAAAATTTTCTTTATGTTTTCTCCTGAATTTTCTATTCTCTTTGTTTCATCATCCTGACCAGCATGACTTATTCCAATAGGCATTTGGTTATTTAATTGTTCTGAGTTGGGGTTTCCTCTACGACTGCAGGAAAGGTTTGAACTGGATTTGCTATTGGGGCCTGCATGAGGCCCCTCTGGGAGTTTCCCGAAGACTGAGGCAAAGGATTACCCTGTCTGTCCCTTGTTGATCTATATTCGTTGGTCCAGTGTTTTCCCTTACCACACCTTCTGCATACTCCAGAAGGAAGGGGCAGTCTGTTGCCATTGTTCCTTGAAGAAACATTGTTTCTAGGAATGACCTGTTTACAGTCCCTTTTCAAATGTCCTTGCTTTCCACATCCAAAACATCTAACATTCCTCAAACCTCTTGAAATTGCTTCTCCTACCCACGTATCATCATGCTCATGAGCTTCAACATTAACCGTGTCTCTAATCCAATCTTCCAAAGGTGCAGATCTTGCCTTTAATGGCCTGATTATTGTTTTGCATGCTGCATTCGCATTCTCAAAGGCCAAAGACTCAATTATTATCTTATTAGCTTCTGAATCCGGGACCATTCTCTTTACTGCTGAAGCCAGTCTTTGTAAAAAATCTGTGAAAGATTCTTTTGGGCCTTGTACAACCTTTGTAAATGACTCAGTTTTTTTTCCTGGTTCCTCAACTCTGTCCCATGCATTCAAGGCTGCTGTTCGACATAAAATTAGGGTTTGGACATCATATAAACATTGTGCTTGTGCTGAAGCATATTGACCTTCTCCAATAAGCTGATCCTGGCAGACTTGTATTCCTTTATCCCTCCACTGTTTTTCTATGTTTTTAGCTTCATCCTTGAACCAAGTTAGCCACTGAAGCCTTTGACTGGGTTCAAGAACAGCTTGTGCCAGCTCCCGCCAATCCTGTGGTACAATCCTATTATATGTTGACCAAGAGTTTAACATTTGCTTTACATACGGGGAATGCATGCCATAAGATACTATTGCCTCCTTAAACCTTCGTAAATCTAACATTTCAATTGGAGCCCAAATATTTTGTGTAGTCATTTGATCAGGCAACTGCTGTATGGTTACTGGACAAACTAAGGGTGACTGTGTGAATACAGGCTTTCTTTCTGTAACCCTATGATCCAATCTTGAAGCAACTTCACTGTTAGTTTCTTCTGTCTGAGTTTTTACAGGTTTATCAAGTTTTTCTAAAGCTGTCATTCTGGCACTTAAATTGATTATCTTTTTAAATTGTAAAATGAGAATAAGCATAGTAATAAAAAGCATAATTCGGTCAACATTAATCTTCTCATATAGCTGTTCCATTGTCAGACTGTCTAAAATTGCAAACAAAGCCCAATTTTCTTCCAATGAACACAGAAAACCCATTTTTTTTTAATGTGGAAAAAATTTCTCTTTTAAATAGTTTCCTTTAAAATATTCAATATGTTAAATGACTTACCAAGTCCTCATAAAACAGTACCAATCCAAGGGAATTTCAAAACAGCCTCCTAGTGTCCGAGGTGTGAATCCAGAGAGAGAGAGAGAGAGAGAGAGAGAGAGAGAGAGAGAGAGAGAGAACACGCAAGAACCGTAGCCACAAGTTCTGCCTAAGAACTTGAATCCAGCCACGTGTTCCCGCTTGAGCCTAGTCAAGCCTTGGCTCTGGCTACCTTAAGCTCCAACCACGTGTGTTGGCTTTACAGGCAGGGGCCCTGTTCGGCAGGGCAGGCCTGAATTGTCTGTAGCACCGGCTTTAAGCAAGTAGCTCAAAGTTAGTCTGGCCTGAGGCCAAGCCGACCTGGGCCCGGGCTAGGGAGCCGGCCGCCCTGGCGGGAAACGGGACCTGCCGGCCGCCCTGGTGGAAACGGGACCTGCCGGCCGCCCTGGCGGGAGACCGGACCTGCCGGCTGCCCTGGCGGGAAACCGGACCTGCCGCCAAGCCAAGTTAAGCGGTTTTTAATGGATTCTTGTCACGTTGGGCGCCAAATGTAGATGTAACCAACAGTCTTATTAAATAAGAAACACAGAGCCAATTCAGAGAAGAAAGCCAAGAGGTCAGAGCTAAGAGCCTCACCCTTCCTGATTCAGGGATCCTCTCCAGCCAAGAGAGCTCTCCGAAAAAGACCTACTTCCTGTGTGTCTGTCTTTAAAGTCTTCCTGTTCTGCCTTGTCATTGGTTGTAAACCCAAACATGTGACTGCCTCGTCACTGCCTGAATGTACCGCCCTCCAGGTCCTTAAAGGCGTGCGCCACCGCCGCCATGCACTTGCTATGACTCTAATAGCTCTGACCCCCAGACAACTTTATTTATTAACATACAATTAAAATCACATTTCAGTACAAGTAAAATACCACCACAGCAATACATAATCTCACACCAGTAAATCCTGAAGAAGGAAAACACACACATAATACCACCAAAATAACAGGAATTAAAAATCACTGATCATTAATATACCTTAATTATCAATGGACTAAATTTTACTATAAAAATACATTGGCTAACAGAATGGATACAAAAACAGAATCCATCCTTCTGCTGCATACAAAAACACCAAAATCACAAAGACAGATAATACTACAGAGAAACCCTGTCTCGAAAAACCAAAAAAAAAAAAAAAAGATAATACCTCAAAGTAAAGGGTTGGGAAAAGTTTTTCTGATCAAATGTAACTAAGAAAGGAGCTGGTGTAGCTATCCTAATATACAACAAAATAGACTTCAAGCTAAAATCAATCAAAAGAGATGGAGCACATTTCATATTCATCACAGGAAGTCTCAATTCTGAACATTTATGCCCCAAATACAAGGGCACCTACATTTGTTATAAAAAACAAAACAAAACAAAACAGATTACTAAAGCTTAAATGACAATAAAACCCACACACTAAAAGTGGGAGACTTCAACACCCCTCTCTCACCACTGAACAAGCCTGTCTGACAGAATCATAACAGAGAAATAAGGGAACTAGCAGATGTTATGACTCAGATAGACCTAACAAGAATCTACAGAATATTTCATTGAAACAAACAAAAAATACACTTTCTTCTCAGCATCCCATAGAACTTTATAAAAAATTTACCACATAGTTGCTAACAAAACAAATATCAACAGATACAAAAAAAATTGGTATAACCCCCCTCTATCTTATTGGACCCACATATCTTAAAGTTAGAATTCAACAACAACAGAAAATGCAGAAAGCCCACAAACACATATAATCATTTCATCATGAAATTTGTAGGCAAATAAATGGAACTAGAAATAATCATCTTGAGTGAGGTAACCTAAATCCAGAAAGACAAACATGGTACATACTCACTAATAAGTAAATATTAGAAGCAAAGTAAAGGATAAATAGGCTACAAATCCAAAAAAACATTGAAGTTAAGTAAAGAAGAGGACCTGAGAGGGATACATATGGATTGCTACAGGAAGGGCAAAGTGTTAAGATCTCCAGGGTAAACAAAAGGGGGAAGTTGAGAAGAGAAGATAGTTGGGAAAATGAGGGCTTGGGATGGCTGAGTTGGGGGACACATGGGGAGGGAGAGCAATGAAAGAGATATGTTGACAGAGTGTATCATTAAGGGGATGGGAAGAAATTTGTAGCTAGGGAAAACTCCAGGAAATAGCAAGACTCATAGCAATGGTGGAGAAGGTACTTGAACTAGTCTTCCCCTGCACTCAGATTGGTGTTTACCCTAATTGTCATCATAGCACATACATCCTATGACTGATGGAAGCAGATGTAGAGACCCACAACCAAGCACTTGGCCAAGATCCTGGAGTTTAGTTGAAGAGAGGGGAGAAGGCTTATAGGAGAAAGGGGGAGGGGTGTCAGCATCATGACATAAAAACCACATTGATAGCTGACCCAACCTATTGGGAGCACATGGACTCTGGGACTGACAACTGGGGAGCCTACATGGGACTGCACTACACACTCTGAATATGGGTGACAGTTATGCAGCTTGATATGTTTCTCAGTACACAGGCAATGGGACCAGAAATTATCTTGGGCACATAAACTGGCTTTTTAGAGGCCATTGCCTATGGTGGGATGCCTTATTCAGCCTTGATGCAGAGGGGAAGGGCTAGGTCCAGCACCAAATTGTGCTGACTACTGAAGAGAGGGCTTACCCTGTATGAGGAGTGGATGGGATGGAGGAGGTGGCAGAAGTGGTAGAAAGGAAAGGAGGGAGAGCAGGGCATGGTGTATAAAAGGGAAGAAAAACATTTTAATTAAAATTTATTTTAAAGCCGGGCGGTGGTGGCGCACGCCTTTAATCCCAGCACTCGGGAGGCAGAGCCAGGTGGATCTCTCTGAGTTCAAGGCCAGCCTGGGCTACCAAGTGAGTTCCAGGAGAGGCGCAAAGCTACACAGAGAAACCCTGTCTCGAAAAAACCAAAAAAAAAATTTATTTTAAAAAGGCCTCAATAGCTTTTCAGGTCATCAAAGATTATTGCAATATCCCAAGGCTTTAAGAGATAGATTGCACACAAAAAGTTTTATTCTTGTGTAAAGTGGAAAACTTTACCACAATAGCTACATTTAGAGGGTTTCTCTGCAAGTTGATTTTTCTCATGATTTTGAAGAAAACTCACACATGCAAAGATTTTACCACACTGATTACATTCAATGGATTGCTCTCCAGTATGTGTTCTTTTAGACATTTCAAAAGTACTATGGCATAGAAAGGATTAATCACACTAATTACATAAACAGGGTTTCTCTGTAGTATAATTTCTTTCATACTTTCAGTAACAATTGTGACAATCCAAAGCTTATCTGCACTGATTACATTTGTAGGTTTCCTCTTCAATAAGTGTTCTTTTAAGCCTCTGAAGACTACTGTGACATTCAAAGACTTTACCAAATTGATTACATACACAGGGCTTCTATCTAGTATGTGTGATTTTATGCATTTGCAGAGTATTGAGGCATGCAAAGGTTTTTACCACAATTATTAACATTAATAGGGTTTCTCTTAAGTATGGGTCCTTTTATGATTTTGAAGAGTACTTTGATCTTTAAAGGCTTTCCCACATTGATGGCATTCATAGGGTTTCTCTCCAGAATGGGTTCTTGTATGAATATGAAGAATACTGAGACGTGTAAAGGCTTTACCACAAGTGATACATTCATATGGTTTCTCTCCAGTATGGGTTCTTTTATGCACTTGAAGAGTACTAGGATGTGCAAAGGCTCTACCACAATGATTACATTCATAGGGTTTCTCCCCTGTATGTGTTCTTATATGACATTGAAGAGCACTGTTATATACAAAGGCTTTACCACATTGCTTACATTCATAGGGTTTCTCCCCAGTATGTGTTCTTTTATGATTTCGAAGATTACTTTGCTGTGCAAAGGCTTTACCACAATCATTACATTCAAAAGGTTTCTTTCCGGTATGTGTTCTTTCATGCCTTTGACGATGACTGTATTTTGCAAAGGCTTTACCACATTTATTACATTCATAGGGTTTCTCTCCAGTATGTGTTCTTTTATGACTTTGAAGAGCAGCGTGACATACAAAGGCTTTACCACATTGACTACATACAAAGGGTTTCTCTCCAGTATGGGTTCTTTCATGTATTTGGAGACGATTACGACTTGTAAAGGCTTTATCACATTGATTACATACAAAGGGTTTCTCTCCAGTATGGGTTCTTTCATGTACTCGGAGACTATTTTGATCTGCCAAGGCTTTACCACACTGATTACATTCATAGGGTTTCTCTCCAGTGTGTGTTCTTTCATGCCTTTGAAGATGACTGTATCGTGCAAAGGCTTTACCACACTGCTTACATTCATAAGGTTTGTACCCAGTATGTATTCTTTTATGACTATGAAGATTATTGTATTGTGCAAAGACTTTACCACAATCATTACATTGAAAGGGTTTGTTTCCAGTATGTGTTCTTTTATGCCTTTGAAGAGTACTTTGATCTGCAAAGGCTTTACTACATTGAGTACATTCATAAGGTTTCTCTCCAGTATGGATTCTTTTATGCACTTGAAGAGTACTGGGATGTGCAAAGGTTTTACCACACTGATTACATTCATAGGGTTTCTCCCCAGGATGTGTTTTTATATGACATTGCAGAGCACTGTGACATAAAAAGGCTTGACTACATTGCTTACATTCACAGAGTTTCTCCCCAGTATGTGTTCTTTTATGACTTTGAAGATTACTGTGCTGTGCAATAGCGTTACCAAAATAATCACATTCAAAAGGTTTCTTTCCAGTATGTGTTCTTTCATGCCTTTGATGAGGACTGAATTTTGCAAAGGCTTTATCAAACTGATTGCATTCACAGGGTTTCTCTCTGGTGTATACTTTTTCACAGTTTTGAAGATGACCATGATATGTAAAGGCTTTAACAGGTTGATTGCATTCATGAGGATTCTCACTAGTATTTGTTCTTTTAAGCAGTTCAATATTACCAGGAAATGCAAAGGCCTTAACATATTGAGTATGTTCAGAAGATCTCTGTCCATTTTGACTTCCTTCTTGCCTACAAGGACAATGAAACACGTAAAACTTTTAACACATTCAATTGACTGTTGAATCTTTATATCTGTATTAAATAATTTTACAAGATGGTGCAATTGTAAAGAACTAGATCATAAGGTTTTGTCACTGTATTTACACTCATATTGTTTCCCTTCATTAAGAGCAGTTTTACCTCTTTGATGGTAAGATCCTTTATTACAACATTCCCATTAGCAGAACCTTTTTTCTATATGAGAATTTTCACATGTGTGAAGAAAACTGGAAAAACTCAGAGCTTTACCATCCTTAATGCATTCATCAACTTTCCTGTACTGTGAGTCATACTACATTTCCTAAGTGAACTAGGACAAACAGAAATATTTACATAATCCTCATTCTCACAGGATTTTAGTGCAGTGTTTGATGATGTATTAACAATGAAACTGGAAAAATAATTACTTGTATGCTTGAATCAAATTCAACAAGAGTACTCAAACTGGGAACTGATTCATATCTTCTAATTGTTCTGAGAGAGATGTATGTTATGTCTTTTCATATCCCTATGCTCATATGGCTTGTATCCAGAGTGGCATATGATATACCCAGGAATGGCAGAAAGAAATAAAAGATTTCCACAGTGAATTCAGTTTTACTTTCTGTCCTCATAGACATGTGGTACAGGGATTAAGATTTCTACACAACTGCATTGACTCTTGATTCTAACTGCCCATCTCACTAAACAGCAGAGTCACAACAAATACATGCGTAATGCCAGATTTACTATGGACTGTTTGCTTGTTAGAAGGTTTTGGAGGTATACTCATCACATCTTCAATGTGTATACATTTTGTAATATGAGTGGTATGAAAGAAATGGACAAACAGTTCTACAGCATAAATCTAATGTTGCTATGATTCAAATTGTGTTATCAGTTAAGGTATTTTTCCTTGACTTCTTTCTTAAAAACATGCCTTGCAAATGAAATTTACCTACCTAAAATTGAGATATGTAGTTGTGTGAGAATTTAATAATTATCAATGGTGCTTTTTTTTTTTACACTGTTGCTTTTACTTAAAACCTTCAGGACATATTACAACTACTTTAGGGGCACATTTGTATCAGGTTGCACATGAAAATTACCTTTCGTGTCTTCTAGAACTTTGATAATGTTCTTCAATATTATGGTCTTCCCAACTGTATCCTAAAATATAGTTCCAGAAAAATGTATATTATTGAACATAGTGCCTGATTTAATCACATCATTCCTCTTTTTCAATCAAATTATAGAAAAGCATCAATAATCAAGGACATGCTGTCCCTTTATTTTAAAATATGAAGGAAAATTTAGTCTTACCTATAGCAGTGAGGTGCCTGTAGGTCTCAAGCATCACATCTTTGTAGAGATTCTTCTGGGAAGGATCCAGCAAAGTCCACTCTTCCCAAGTAAAGTCAATACGTACATCATCATAGGTCACTGCATTCTAAAATAACCCATACAGGTGTACAACTGAAAACATGATACTGACAACATTGTAAATGTATACTTCTTTGACAGTATAGTCCTATAATTCCGGTCCTCCCCATACTTATTTCATGACACAGACATTATAATGTAATCACCAAGTCACTTTAGAAGGAAACTGAAAAGGAGGTTCACACCTGTCATTTCTGTACCCTTTGCAAGAGAAGTGTCTATTAACAAACATAGAGAGACAAGTAAACCGAACAACAGTACAGAGTACACATGAGAGAAATTGTATGAGAAATTACTAACCATATAAATGAAAAATAAGATGGACAAACTGTGTGTATAGGCTCATGCCTTTAACTCCAACATTCAGAAGGCAGAGGCATGTATATCTGCCTCTGAGTTGAATGCCAGCCTAGTCTATGGAATCAGGTACAAGACAGCCAGAAGTACATATAAAGACCCTGTCTCCCATGCAAAAATCAGTAAAACAATAAAAAAAGAAAGAACTCAGCGGTTTTTACTGAAGTTCCTACAAAGAGTCATGTATTCCTTCCAGTTTGGTTTTCATCGTCAGAAACCTACAGCATCTCAATTAAAACTGTAACATCAATCATATTATACTGAAAGGCACTGTGTATTTAAACTGTTATAAAAGGATAGATGAAAACATTAGCAATATAAATGTTGATTATAAATAATCAACACAGGGCAGGAGATAGCCCAGTAGCAAAGAGCTCTTGATGCCCCTGCATATAGGTGGGCACAATTGCCACTACTATATGGGAGAATCAAAACTATCCACTATTCCAAGTTCAGGGTTTCTGAGATCATTTTTTGATCACTATGAGGACCAAGCATTCCTGTGATGCATATCCAGGCATACAAATAAAATATTCATATTCACTTAAAAAATTAAAAGTGTACACAACATATATGAAGAAGTTCATGCACCTGCAATCCAATGAGTCAGAAGGCACAGGCAGTATTAATGTCATGATACATGCCATCTTGGAAAACAGAATGAACCTCCTGCCAAATTTTAAATTTCAAAATATGAATGAACCTCACTACAGCATCATATGCCTGGCATCTACAAAAACCTATGTTCTGGGTCCAATACTCAATAACAGAAAAACAAACAAACCAACAAACAAACAACCCAGGAATATTGGCCCACTGCTAATCATAGGACTTGGGAGCCAAAGTCAAGGAGATCTCTGAATTTGAGGCCAGCCTGGTGTACAGAGGTGTACTTTCAGGACAGCCAGGGCTATACAGACAAAACTTGTCTTCAAAAATAAACAAAAGAAATAAAACAGCAGGCTAAAAAACTGCTGTGGCCCTGAATACCAAATGTTTCTACTGTATCTTATGTGATTTAGAGTTAGCGTCAATACAGCAATGAAGGCATGACAAAGCAAGGAAGCTGGCTGACTAGTTTCAACCACAACACAGTATACACAACGAACAGGAAATGGGTTGAGTCTATAGAGACTCATATCACACCCACAATGAGGAATTTCATTCAGAAGGTCTCCTAAAGGGTTTTTTTTTTTTTTTTTTTTTTTGGTTTTTTGAGACAGGGTTTCTCCTACTGAAGGTTTTACAATCAATGGAAAGAAAGTCACCAAGGAGAGACCACATGTTCAAATACATCATCCTATCTGGGAGGTTTATCATTCAATCAACTACATTCTGTCTCAGGTCACTATAGGCTCATGGTCATCCATGAAGAAAATGCATTTAGTCACTTCCTTGATTGTGATAGCCTGCAACAGTGCTAACACTGTTCAAATGTCCAAAGTCTCTTCTAAAACTCAAAGTAATCTCTTGACAGGGACATCTTGCAAAATCAGAAATGAAGTTAGATCTTTCCAACATACAGTGGCACAGAATATCATTCACATTCCAAAAGAGATAAATGGAGACATAGTAAGGGAAGATTGGACCAAGGCAGGACTGAAACACAGCAGGACAAACATCAAGTCCTGTATCTCTGTCTCAGATGCATGGGGCTTTAGTTTCGAAGGGCTTACATGGCCCAATCCCTGAAATTTCTCATATATCTGTTTTTTTTGGTTACTGCTACTTTCTATACACAGCTAGGTCTCCATGGAAGACATCTTATAGATTAGGTATCTCAATGTCTTGTGATCCCAAAATGCAACCCAGGCTGTTGTGTAATATTTTAAGATGTGTTATACTTCTTTGTGCTGTGGAACTTTGGTTTTAATGATGCAAAGATGTGTTGCATTCTTTTATGTTGCATTTGTTTAACTCTGTGAAGCTGTGATACTTCTAAAGCCTATCTAAAATATTTGGTTGGTCTAATGAAGAGCTGAACAACCAATAGCTTGGCAGGAAAGGATAGGTGAGGGTAGCAGGCAGAGAGAAAAAATGGGAGGATAAATCTGGTAGGAAAAATGAAGGAGGAGCAAGAAAAGCAGAGGACCCCAGGGGCCAACCACCCAGCTACACAGTAAGCCACAGAGTAAGAAGTAAAGAAAGGTATATAGAATAGAGGAAGAAAAAAGCCCAGGGGCAAACGTCGGTGTGAAAATTTAAGTTAAGAAAAGATGGCTAGAAACAAGTCAACGTAAGGCTGGGCAATTATAAGAAAGAATAAGCCTCTGTGTGGGATTTATTTGAGAGCTCAGTGGCCGACCCCCAAAAGAGTAAAGAATAAAAAGCAAAAAAAAAAACCCTGACAACACCAGGCTTCAAACCTCACAGCTTTATAGGGTGAACTCTTACAGTGTGCTCATTGGTTTTCTGACTCTGCCATAGATGCCCACAAGAATGCTGACAACAATGCTAGACAGTAACCACAGACTAAAAATCTGTGACCTTAAATTTTGACCTTTTCTTATTTCCAGGACCAGCACATGATGGGTGATCTTGCAAAGTATGACTTCTTAATTGGGATGGACATTAACATGCTTGGACCACAGGTACAGCAGGTCTTGTATGAAGTTGCTTACTGGGACTAGGAATCACTTTGCTTACTCCTTCCATAATTTGAATGTTTAGCAGCATAGAGTCCTTAGGGTACCTTTCTAGGCTTCAATTCTATAGCAAGGGCCTTCTCCTTAATGGTGAAAAAATCCTTGAAAATTCCAGTCTGTTTCAATACTTGACTGCTCTCTGAAACTACCTTTTCATGTTCATTTATTTCTGCCCCACGTGTTGTTTCCTTTTCACGGTAGACATGAATCAGTCATCACTAATAACCACCCAACAGATTCAATGTTCCATTTTAGGAATTAGCCCATTAATTTTTATTTCTGCCTTACTATATTCCCAGAGCATAGGCAAAATAAGAGAGACTTTGGAATCAAAATATCATAGAAATGGCCTCTAGCTTAATTTTTGTATAGAGTCTACTTATTTCCAACTGAGATCCTATGATCTCAAACTACACTTACTGCCATTCCTCTTAACATTCCAATTTCCTGGTCCTGAAAGAACAGACAGTTAAGTTCTATGTACAACTTTCTATGGCTTTTGCCACCTAATGTCTTGATATCTTCCACATTCTTCCAAAAGACAACACTCCCAGGTTCTACCTAGCAACAAAGTAACTTTTTGTTCCATTTTTTTTATAACTTACTTTTATCCTTCTGTGATTAAATCCTGTAACACATACACAAAAATATCTCAGGCAATGAATGCATTTATTTGGCTGATTATGTCAGATCATACTCCATCATTTTGGAAGATTAGGATAGAAAATGAAGCTAACAATTGAAGGCAAAACCCATGGGCCAAGATTGTTCCTAGCTCTCTTTCTTGCCTAATCAGTGTCTCATGCTCAGCTAGCTCTACTTTTTAGCCCAGGCACACTTTCTTAGGGATATTGTCACCATTGGTGGAGGAGCCTTCCCATCACCCTAAGTGGAGGAGCCTTCTGACATCAATCATCAATCACAACAATCTCTAACAGACATGACAGTATTGGGCTATTATGGATAAAGCCACTATGAACATAGTTGAGGAAGTGTCTTTGTTGGAGGATGGAGACATATCTTTTGGGTATATGCTCAAGAGTGATATAGCTGGGTGTTGAGGGAGATTGACTCCCTATTTTCTGATCATTGCATAATGACTTCCACAGTGGCTATACAAGTTTGCACTTGCAACAGCAATGAATCTCCTTCCTCCATGTCCTGGCCAGCACTAGCTGTCACTTGTCTTTTTGATCTTAACCATTTTGACAGATATGAGAAGAAACCTCAAAGTAGTTTTGATATGCATTTACCCAAGGCAAAGAATATTGAAAATTTTTTTCAAGTGCCTCTCAGCCACTTTAGATTCCTCTACTGAGAATTCTGTTTAGAGCTATAGACCAATATAATTGGATTATTTGGTTTGTTGTTGTCTAGTTCCTTGAGTTCTTTATTATCCTGAGTGAGGCAACCCAGAAGCACATAGACAAATGTGGTATGTATACTAATGTATAAGTGGATATTAGTAGTTAAATAAAGTACAATCACAGTAACCACAGTTAATCACAGTACACTCCATAGATGCAGAGAGGCTAAGTAACAAAAACATCTCTAGGGGAGATGCATGGCTCTCCACTAGGAAGGAAATAGATGAAGTAGATTATGTGTGTATGGTGATATTTTATTTGTATTAAAATGTTATTTGTATGTTAATAAATAGAGTTGCCCGGGGGTCAGAGCTATTAGCAAGCCATAGGAAAGCAGGGCAGTGATGGCATGTGCTTGTAATCCCAGCACTTGGTAGGCAGAGCTAGGTAAGTCTCTGTGTGTTCAGGGATACAGCCAGCATTGGATACACATGCCTTTAATTTCAATACCAATCATAGAAAACCTGGAGGCCTATACAGACAGGCCGTGATGAGGCGGTCATGTGGTTGGGTTTACAACCAATGAGAAGGCAGAACAGGAACTCTATATAAAGACTTTAACATAGGGGTAGCTCTGGTTTGGAGAGGTAGGACCACCGCAGGAGGAAGGGTAAGGTTTCAGCTCTTAGCTCTGACCT